ATGGGCAAAAAGTTGAGCAAGTCTGACAAGTTCTGATGACTACAGACAACTGCATCTCCAAAAGTCCAGCTCTCACGGTGCGTTATCATTCTGTGGTGATCAGTATTCATGGGTTTCAGGCATAAAGATTCCTTCCTGATTTGAGGGATTTGGCATAGCAACGGTATAGCAAATATAGATCTTTTGAATAATGAAAGGTCCTCAAGAAATCCTTCAAATTAGGAAGAAATCATTTGCCTAAAACCCAAGAATAAATGAAATGTGTACTAACCAAATGAAGAGGGATATGCAAAAATATCGAAATACTTGTAGTGACACTAAATTTGGTGATACAGTTATTGTTATTGTGGGCGGCTGTATCGATATATTGCGGGTACTTTTTAGTATATTTTAGCAATTAGTGATTTAGCATTACAATGTTGTTACTTATTTAGTGAAAGGAAACTTGTTTATGTGATACACTTGGCATATTCACTGTTTTGATGATTAAAATACTTGTACTTCATATGAACTGTAGTGATTTAGCTAAGAAATATTCTGTATTCTGGTTCTTAAAAAACACAGAGTATCATGTACAGATATCGTGTTTTGAACCGAGTATTGTGCAATGTAAACAGGTCAGATGAGGAGTGGGGGTGGACAGTCTAATAATCCACAGCGACCAGCATCTGTGGCTCAACATGATACAGAAGGATCGAAGGGTTTAGCATGAATCCGATCAGACAGAGACGAGGCTTCATCAGATCATAGAGTTTTACAGCTGCAGTGTCATTTTACACTATGGACTTAAACATGCACAGATTAGCAGAGGATTTACTCTAAAGACAATATAATGTGGATAAACACAACAGAGTGGAGAATGTGTTTGTTCTTATGTACTCAAACTTTCTTTAGTTGTCAAACAGAGAAAATAAATGGATAAAAATCTAATTATCGTCTGTTTTTTAAAGCTCTGCAATGCAACTTTTGTAGCGGAGGGTCTGCTAACCTGCTTGTCACAATGGATATGTAATAGCTTCGCCTGAAATATTGCAGTGAATTTATCCGTCTTCATCGAGACAAGGTTACAGGTTTTATGCCATACAGAGGGACATTTCAGGCAAAGTAAGAATATCTCCATGAAGATGAGCATGTAGCATACCTTCAACCATAAAAGTTCCACAATTCATCTTTAATTACCTGCTTTTATATTAACATAACGACTGAAAAAACAAACCTAGAGTTGTGTTTTGTTTCATTCACACGTTTAATACACAAACTTTGCGTATATAGGCTAAGTTCTTCACTCAAACAGAAAACACAGGAAGTGCTCCACTGTGTTTTTCAACTCCATACACCTTTACTAGACTCATATGGATAATTTCGATCCCTACTACACAAAATATACAAAAGGTAAAAGGTAGCTTGAGATGTAGACAGATTAATAATGCATGTGTGAATGAAACAAAGCACAACTCCAGGTATGCTTTTGATGAGGTAACATTATAACATGCTTCAAAGCTCACAAGAGTCTATTTTGTGTAATATAGGACCTTTAAAACACCATTACAGCTGGTTACATCACATTCTCATCCTCACCTAAAATCAATATGGATTTAGACAGAAAATAAAAGTCGCACAGAGATAAATGAAATTAACTGGTGGCAGTGCCATTGTTAACGGCAAAGTCTAATTTGCAGAGAAAATGACTTCTTCAGGGAACACAATTGGATAAACAAAAGCTAAAAGAGCTTTGTGAGATCTTTCAGCACTAAGCAGCAGACAGCAGCACAGTTTTACACAGGAGCAAGGTGTAAAATGTCAAATTCATTATTGTTTTATCATCGGGAGACAGGAGGAGCTTGGAAAGGGTATAAGAGAGAATAGAAAGACTCAGGTTTGTCAATGAGAGCTCTGAAGTGGACAATAAACCCTGTGTGAAGTCTTCTATAACACAGCGTAGCCAGGAATGAGAAGAAAGAAGAAGAAAACATCCAAACACTCTTCATCTTACAGAGTTATTGACATAAAAATCCATGAAAAAAAACAAGTACTGTCATCTTATGAATGTGAACTTAACTTTACAAAGACTAGAGTGTGACTTTGAGCCTTGATAATGTACTAAACACTACAACTATAACAAACTGACTAGAAAAGGCTGACACTTGATACCGATTTCAAACCAATAATGATAATAAACGCCCATTTTTGGACAATATAATTTCAGTTTTAACACAAATAGTGCAGTAGTAGTTTTAAGGGATGTAACAATACCCGAAATATCGTGATATCATATCGTCAAAGTTCTTACAATAATTTCATGGACCATCACAATATATCGAATTACAAGTCTGTTTGCTTAAATTAAGAGTTATGGTGCAGCAGTAAAGACAGAGGGAACTACAGAGACCATGATCCTTTGCTCCATTTCAGTGTAGACTATAAGAAGAAACAACAGTTCTAAGCACATTGGATTAAGTCTTGTCAAGACATTTTAAGAGGAAAAAGTTGCACATTAACAGTTTTGTCTCCACAAAATATCGCAATAAATTTCGCACCATGAGATGTATATCGTGAAAATATCATACCAGGAGATTTGGATATTGTTACACACCTAATCGTGAGCTTCCCCACCATATCATGAGCTTTCCCATGATATCGCATTAAATATCATACCCTGAAGATATCGTATCATGAGACTTGGATATCGTTACACCCCTAGTAGCTTTTATATTTATTAGGTTGTTTAAGACTTGTTCTGACAGATAGAAAATCATTGTCAAATGAAAAAGAAAAGGTACCATGTAGTTTTTTTATGTGATTTCTTTCAGTATCAGTACTTTTTCAAACAAGTATCTAGTTCTGAATTTGTATCTACTAGGTATTGCTTTTTTGACAACCCTAAAACTGATTTGAGCTTATTCTCACTTTGTTGCCTCTTTGATATACAGTCCCTCTCCCAAACAGTCCCATATAGAAGTGTACTTAATATCACACAGCATACTCTTCCCATATCACTCAGCTCCGTCTCTGTCCATTCAAACCACATGTGGCGTGTGCAGTGGACACCATCACTCACTTTAATAACAGATCCAGGAGCAGAGACAGTGGGACATTACTCATCGTGTGATTGGACATTATCTTGTCACTGTCCCTTTGATTTCCTCAGCTTTTCCAACACAACGCAGCACAAACACACACTATACACTTTCGCCGGCTTATTCCCTTGTTTATTGAGCCTATTGAGTTAAAGGTGCACTATGTAACTTTTTGTTTGGAAGCTCGTCTCCTGCTTATTTCTATGGATATGTCACTGCTCTGCCTGGAATGTTCCGCAGTGTGATATTAAACAGTTCTACCTTATATTTATTCAATTACAGGTGTCTTACTACCTACAAACACAGGTATTCCGACTGTGAGGTTGCCCCTGCACAGATCTGATCTGTAACTTGATCTGATTTGGTCTTCATCAAGTTTAATGCCATACTGTGAAACATTCCAGACAAAGCAATAACATGGAGAAAAGCATTTTACGGACCCTTAACCAGAAAAGTTTCAGAATACACCTTTAAAACAGTAGCATTCATTTTGACAGAACGATCTTCAGCTTTTAAACTTTGCTCAAAGGCACCTCGGCACCTGGTTCGGACATGGAGAAAACGTTGCAGCTTTAGGTCTGTCAATCTTAAAACACCCCTTCGTTAATGATGCTTTAATTAGTGGTTATAAATGTTTTTAATGAGAGTAAAGCAAAGGACAACTAAATGTGACAGGGCTTTAAAATTACAAGGTTTTTTTTTCTCTCTCTCTGATCAGTACTGAGGCTCAAAAGATCAGAGAAGATCTATTGACTTTTGTACAGTACTATTTTGTTATCAAGATCAGCCAAGTCTGCACTCATAAAACTGTCAAATTCGACACACATACGCGAGGAAGAATCTACAAAGAAAGATATCTGAACTTTAGTATCAACAAATGTTACGTAGGGGGTGAGCATTAGCAGCTTGTCAAAACATCTAGTCTGCATACAGTAAGTCTTTGGCAGAGAAAAACCTGACTTAGAAACATGCAAAAAACAAGGATTCACTGCCACATTCATTCACAATTGAGTCTCCTATTTGACAACATTCATATGGGCTATACATCTTAACCAGCTGGAAGCATACATTGAATGAATCATTTCTTTCTTCTATCTTCCATCTTTGTTCTACCCATGTAACTTGCAGCATCTGGACTGAATCTGTTGGCTGCCTCCCCAAAGCAGACAGAACAGGAGCCAAACTTCAAATCATAAGGATGTGAAGAAGTCTACGGACAGGAGTGACTGTAGACAAGCCCTTTAATGTGAAATGCGTCTATGCGTGAGGCTGGGGTGTGGAGGGAGGTCCGGTGTTTGTAACTTTGTCTAAACGGAGGTGGTTTAACCCGGATGGAAGTAGGATGTTAAGTGGGAAGATGTGGTCAAAGCCTCAGTCTTTTCCTATGGGAAGAAGACTGACTTTAATACAACTGAAACTGGGAGGAAGAAGAGAATAGACATTGATTCTTGCTTTAAGAGTGATTGAGTTAAAGTGTAACAGCGAGATCCATTTGATACCAAGCCAGGATAAAAGACACCTTTGTTACTTGGTTTATTGATGCCAGTGGACTCATAGAAACTCCATTGTGCGAAATAGCCAAGTTTTAGCTTCTTGACGCTCCTAATAAGACGAACTAGTGCTGTTTTGTTATTTTTGCAATAAATTACAAGCTATATGTACAGTTTTGGCTATCGTTAGTTTCGTTGTTAACATGCAATGAATCTGATAAAGTTTGCATTTCTCAAAAATTGCGTGTTCTGTGGCTTTAAGATGCTCCAGAAGTAAATGATAGGAGAGTCTAATAAAGAGGCTTTTGTTTGGTTTGCAAATTGGGAAAAAAAAAAAAACGTGCCGTGCGTAACTGTTTTGGGTTGATAAAACTAGGGAGACGCATCCTCAGCTCAAGACATGTCAACACATAACGATGCCTCCTGCGCTTACCTCGACACTGAACGGCTGCTCCTCTCCATTGACGGCGCATAAAATCCACAGCAACAACTGCAAACATAGCGTCCCCATAGAGCAGCTCTTTAGACATGTCCTGCTGCGCGCCAGTAAAACCATAGTGAACCCGCTCTGTACTGTCTCTGTCCAGTTTATTTACAGTCGATACAAAGGCGCACAGCGGGATGAACCTTAGGCTTGTAGCGGCAACATTTCTTCTCTTGTTGGGATGGGAGCAGGAGAAAGCACACGTCGTATCGCGGAGGAGATGGAGCTTATCCCCGGGGAAATCCGAGCTGATAACGCCGGTCAGCAGCCTCTCAATCCCCGCAGTCCCCCGGGTCAGTGCTCCGGTGTGACGGTCGCGTCCAGCCTGGTTTCTTCTCCTCTGCGCGGCATAGCTGCCCGTTTTCAATCGAAATTCCCATCGAGTGCGCATGCGCTTTGGTCCCAACTCCCCATCCCACTCCTCATCCAAATTCTCCTATAAAAACACTCCTCACTTGACAGTTTGCTCTCAATGTTTTCTCCTAAACTGACTGTTGCTGTTTTTTCAGCTTGTATTGTAAAAAGTACAGACTAAAATATGTCTACACAAACTATTAAACAATTATTAATGAGTAATACAGTTCTAATAGGCTACACTTTTGAATCTAATATATATTTTATCTATTCACAAATCTATAGCCTAAATAATGTTATCAGCCCATGTTACAACTGTCTCATCATGAAGTGGTCCTGTGTCTTTGTGTTCCCGTTCTGACTGTGGGTTTATTGACGTTACAGGTTAATTGACTCCTTGTCCGCTAGAGGGCGATGACAGCGCCCTTCTGAATGATGTAACAGAATAAGCTGAGCTGCTCAGAAGTGCGCTCTACATTTCCAGTATGAGACGATGCTCTTACAGCTGTCATCTCTCTATTTACCGCACTGTACACAACCTCAACCTGTCCCTATTATACAAGCGACACACCCCGCCATGATTTCACCTCTTATCTAATTGTGACATAAGCACATGCAAATGAGTTTTTCTTTACCAGAAGGAGTAAAGCAGTAAGATTTTCATCAGCACAGACTATTGTTTCCCAGGAGGATATAATATTTGAATATAAAATGTAATGTAATAAAATGTCTGTAATTGCTAATAAACAATTTGGACTATCATTAAGAAAATAAAAGAGAGCTTAGTAGGCTGTAGGCCATATGGTAAATTGACTATCAGGGTATAAGAAAACACTTAGGGGGTACTTAAAAAAAAAAAAATAAATAAAGTTGGATAATTGACAGTTTTTGACCTGCTTGATGATACTTGTATATTTCAGCTTAGTTCTTCTCTGTCAAACTAAAAACACTATGTTCCGCCTTGTGATGTCATGTTTTTAAACTGCTTACACCTTCACTAGAATCATTTGGATAATTTCAGTCCTGGAATTGCCAATCTCTACTGAAGCATATGGAGAAATTCAATTAGTCTACTGGACAAAAGTTTATTTGGTTGAATACATTTGGCAGCTCATCCAAGCTTCCTTATATCTGCCTGTAAGGAGGAGCTAACTACAGTGAAACTACTATGAAACACATCTACCTGTTTACAAGTAGAAAAATCAGAAGAAGCAGCTTGGATGAGATGTGAAACATATTTGACCAAATTAACTTTTGTCTAGATGACCAATTCAGTTTCTCCTTTTGCCATGGATTCCACCTGGACGACTGAGGGATTTTACACAAATTTCTACTGAACTGAAGTAGAAGGTACAGTAGCTGTTAACTTGAAAATGACTGTTTCATGACATCACAAAGTGGAACAGAGCATTTGAGATGTTGAGAGGCTAATAATAAAGGGTTACTCAAACATGTGTGAAGGAAACCAAACACAACTCCAGGTATGTTTTCTATGAGGTATTAACATTATAACATGTCTTAAAGCTCACAAGAGTCAATTTTGCGTAATATAGGACCTTTAATAAGCGCTACTATTATTTGTTGTTATTTGTTGATTTTTTTTTTTTCTGATTCTTGGATTAAATACCCATGATATTCTATTTATAGATCAAACATAGTGATGTTACATCTAAAAACATACACTTTTCTAATCTCTTCACATAATGGCAAAGGGTCAAAAGTAATGAAGCAGATCAATGCGTTCCCACTTAGCCCCGTATGAGCCGATGGGAGAGGAGCACGAGCCTGGTCTCTGTAGGGCTGAGCTGCTCCATTAGACCAGTGATGAGTTTGACTTTGCACACGGCCCTGCGGACCCTCTGTGGACTCACCATCACACTCAATATAAAAGGCTATTCAAAGTTTTCTACCAGACACACACGGGAGCCCATTTTAATAGCTTACGTCAAAGATGGAATTTGCGATTTCCAAAAGTGGGACACCTACAAACTTTCTTCATGTTCAGAATCCCAAACTGGCATCAACACATCAGTGAACATACTAAAACTAATCTGAGTGACTATAGGGACATTTGGGTTTCCATGAAAATAGAAAGTTAAACCAAACTTCAGAATATTCACAATGGAGATAGATCAGTTTTAATCATTCATACTGTGGAAAACTGTAGCCAAAAGAACATAATTTCCACGGAGACAAGCTTGTGGAGGGCCAATCCCATTTCTAATTTCTGCCCCTTCCCCTTGCCCACTTGAAACTGATCAACAAGGTGTAGGGGTTGAAAGTAAACCCCTTCGAACTGGGACACCCCTTCAGCAATCACATACGTCATCAGTAGTCTCTGCCAGCTTTTACCTAAGTAGATGCAACAAGCTTTTGCCAGAAATCTAACATGCCGTCTACAATTTGTGAACTTCTTTGGTCTCTGTGGTCGTGGTAGTAGACATCTTGCCAGTGATTCACAAGGCATTCTCAGAAATTGCTCATACCTGTCCTCTGAAAAATCTTCATTTGGAGGGGTTTATAGCCCTACCACTTCAACCTACCCTAACGGTAACTAGGACACCCTGACCCGAAAGTAGTATGGCCAAGGGGTGTAATGGGATTCATCCAAAGTGTCAGGTTTGTGGAGATGCAAGCCAGCTCACAGTAATGTTTTTCAGTGCAATGAAAAAGCATGTTTTTGTTTTTGTTTTATGTGGCTAAAATGTTCCATCGGGGCTTTAAAAGTCTAATATTACACAAATTTATCTCTTATGATCTTTAAGTCATATTAGAATGTTGTTACTTCCTCAAAAACATACCTGGAGTTATGTTTTGTTTCATTCACACATGTTTGAGTAATCTACTATTATTAGTCTGTCTACATATCGAAAGTCCAAAATGCTCTGCTCCACCTTGTGATGTCATGAACTCAGTGTAAATATGCAGGGTTTGTGTGCTAAACATGTGTGAACGAAACAAAATACAACTCCAGGTCTGTTTTTGATGAGGAAACGTTATAACATACCAGAGGTGGGACTAAGTCATTGCTTTGCAAGTCTCAAGTAAGTCTCAAGTCTTTGACCTCAAGTCCAAGCCAAGTCCCAAATCAAAGACAGGCAAGTCCAAGTTGAGTCTCAAGTCACTGGCCCATCAGTCCAAGTCAAGTCCAAGTTGTCTGCTTTGAACTTCAAGTCATTTCAAGTCTTTAAACCAAAGCACCAAATATAGGTTTTATAGATTTTTGCAATTTATATGACTTTTAAACTAAATTGTACTTAAAAATAAAAATATGTTTATATGTGAGTATTTATATAACAGTCATAGAAATGCAAATTTTTCTTTTTTAAACATCTAGACAAGATGTTATTGTGAATCACTGTGGTCAGAATGGAAAGAATTAAGATTTAAAAATACAGTTATTTTGTCATGTAGTCTGCACTGAAAGGGAAGGATCATGTTCTATGGTGTTCCTTCTGCTTTACTGTATTGTACTGCATATTACTGTATAGTACTCTATTGTATTGTATATTACTGTAGTACATTTGAGGATACCATGTCAGAGAACTTCAGTTACATCCAAAGTAACAAACAGAAGTATGAGGGATCAACTGTAAAGAGAAAAGTATTTTCATATATTAAAAATAACAATATTGGAGTGCTGCACTGGATCAAAAATGTATGCCTACAGGTGTTCATCAAACCGGAGGGCTTAGATTCTTGTGGAGTGGAAAAAAGGATGGCAGAGGCACTCTGATTTGCAGTGTATTTATTAATAGTTACACCAACGCGTTTTGACTACTTTGTCTTCATCAGGGCTGTTTTTCTGTGGACTATTTTCATATATTTTTTAGAAGCATCAAGTTTTTTCAAGTCACATGCCTAAGGTCCAAGTCAAGTCTAAAGTCATTGAGCTTCAAGTCCAAGTCGAGTCCCAAGTCTTAATCTATTTTATCAAGTCAAGTCTCAAGTCTTAAAAATAGTAACTCAAGTCTGACTCGAGTCCAAGTGACGACTTGCAAGTCCCCACCTCTGCAACATACATCAAGAAATATTAAACATTATAACATAGATCAGAAAATAGTGTAATATGGGTCCTTTAAGTTTAAGCACAGAGAACAGTTATATCATTTAATACCTGTAATCAAAAGGTTTTAGCAATATTTTTTAAGTATCTAGGTGACACATTCTGGATAAATCATCATCATCATCATCAACATTATAAAACCTGGCGGCCCTTTTGCGTGTATTAAACCTCATGACCTCATCCATGACTTCTTTGACTCACATCCTGGCTTCCTGTTTCCTCTCTCGTCTTGTTCCCTCACCATCTTTTCCTCTTGTAAGTTTAATTATTTCCTCTCTGTTGAATAAGCCTCTTTCTGGCCCTTTCCAAATGGTCCACCCACCACCACCACCAACCACCGCCACCTCACAGCCCCTTCTCCTCTCCAAAAGTCTTCATCGTCTCATCATCGCTGCTGCATCTGCTCCTCTCAGACCTCCTGGATCCTGGCAGCGCATATTCTGTCTGCGAATAGAGAACTAAAAATGAATAAGCGGAAGATAGAAAAGGCTGGTGGGAGTGTCAATTGGCAAATCTAGACCAAAATGTTAGTTAAAGCTTTTAAGGTTGTGTAATCTTTTGTTTTACTGGGTGACTCACTGGACCGCTGCATTGACTATAAAGTTTAAATGCGCTGTGACTTGACAAACAAAAGGGGACTTAAGTGGTCTTTTTCCATTTGGAAGAAAGCCCTTTTCTGTAAATGTTGAAATCGCAGTTCATTCACATTTTTGACAGGTTGAAACAATAGAAGCCACATCTTTC